AAATGTTGTAGTGATGGTGATTTTTGTTTTGTCTGTTATTTCCCAAAAGATTTGATTTAACTCGATTTCCTGAGAGTCCGAATAAATAGATCACTTCAATATTACTTACACCGCTTCTTTGTGTTAGAAGTACGAACTAAGGCAGTGTGCAGTTTACAAGACTATTGTAATTCACTCATTCTATCCAGAATATCTCATTCAATATATTCCGTTAAGAAAGTTAGTATTCTACGAAATTTCATTTATAAATCTGTTGTTTTATCATAATTTCACTGTTACTCGTTCTCACTAACCTGCATATCTTTCGAAGTTGACTGTTTTATTTTCCCCGTTTTTGTACCTATATTTTTTCGTTCACACACGGTTATCTTTGGCGCCGTATCTGTAAAGATTGGTGTAAATAATAAAAATAATAGTAATAATACCTCTCGATTCCACAGACGTTCATCGTCTGCTGCTCGAGGATGGGCAGAGCATGATACTCTCTCTTGTACGTCGTGTTCACCGGCAATTCCCAGCAATCCAAAAAATACATCAAGCATTCCTCTATTAATCGTTTTACACGCTGTCTGCTCTCCGTTCCTTCCTCCTCAGGCCATGGAATCTGTACAAAAGCCAGTCGAATGCATTCGTTTCCGGAACCAACGGCTGATGTCGAGTTACTGCAACGCACCACTCTGAGTCTTCTTCGTCAACTGTGTCCAGATCCAAAGGAATTACGTGGGGTAAGCTAACCGATCGATTTCTGGTTTTGCATTTTTCTGCCATCAATCAGATCCGTCTCCGGTTGACCGTATTTCACGATATGCGTCTCGCATTTTGCAGCCGCAATCTGCAGTCTACCACAGTAGAGCATAGCAGCCGTTTAATTCTGTCGATTAAGGCATAACTAAATGGGTTTGAGTTCCTTTTCTACAGAGTTCGGTGATCAACAAGGCCAGAGGCCTTATGCCTCTTGAGATAGCTTATTTCCCGAGAAACCTCCAGTTCAGATGGAGGACTAGTATCAACTGGGAGTATTTGTCCAGTCGAGGCGGAGAGTGTAAAATAAGACGTCGATGGGGGCCAGTTGAACCGAGCCTTGAAGTGTTCAGCCCAACGATCAAGACCACGTTGCTGATCGTGATTGTGTCATCGGATTNTCGGATTCCTTAATTACCTCATTTACACCTATTTTCCTAGGGCCCGTATTCCTAATTAGATGGAAAAGGTTACAACTATTACCAATAGCCGCAGCTTTTTCCATCTCTTCTCCATCTTCTTCACTTCTCTTGAATTGATCCCCTCCAGCGGTAACTGATGGCAATGTGGTCAATTTGGGTCCAGCGCAGTTTTGAGGTTGGCGATTTCCATGTGAGTCGAAGGCGTTTCTTGTGCGATAATTTCGTGTTTGATAGGAACAAACCATGGTCCGTGCAGAATTGAAGTAGGCGATCTACGTTGTCCGTCCGGTTAACTGGGGTTGCATGTGATCCGCCAAGAAGCCTTTCTGATTCGTCCAGGTATCCCACTTGAGCATTGAAGTCTCCGGCGACTACTACGACGTCCGTTCACTGAGCACTTTGGAGTAGCTGGGAAAGATCCTTGTAGTATTCATCCTTCATTTCAGGTGCACTGCAATCGGTCGGTGCATACGGTGATACGACGAATAAGCAAAGACGCTCCGTTCTGTAGCTGTTGACCCATGCTGAACCGTTGAGACGTACAGCGCACAATCGGCTACTGACTGGGATCCAGTCAAGAAGCGAGCGCTCAGCCTTGGCACTTAGTGCAATCCCGACACCAGCAACACCGCGAGCTTCGGATGCCGAATCGCCTGACACGAAGGGCGAAGCGTGAGGTTGAGGTTGGATCAGCAGAACGCAGAGAGATAATGGAAGTGGGGTCTTGTATGCGTGTTCCAAGGACAGCATACATCTACATTGAACGTATCGAGGTTTCTAGCCAGGGCAGCTTGTTGGCCAATCTGATAGAGCCTGCGGACATTGAACGCGGCTAAGTAAAAAAAAGGGTTTTGGCTTTAAAAATCTTATAGCTTCTGAATCTCTGGCCTTGATGGTAAAACGCTGAGTGATATTCGATGAGTGGTGTAGACAGGAGGCATCTGGGATTATTCGGGGTTCAGAAGAAGAACCAGACAGATGGGAAGGATGATTTTCCAAATGGGTGCCTAAGACTTTAGGGCGCGACATAATTCGCGGTAGCCCACACCGACGAAGGGCTTTTCTTTTGGAACCCTAACCGGAGCGTTTGTCTCAGGAGTTTGACCCACAAGGCAGTGGGGCGTAAATCCAACGCTGGAGCGTGAACGAGGCATCCGTGTCGGAGCTTCTCGAGACCCGTCACGCAAGGCCTTTGAATTTCGGTTGAGTTTGTTGTTCGCTGGTGCGTTGATTATCAGTCCGCTTTTCGGGATCAGCCCTCAGCCTCATGCACCCAATGAGACAAGCGGAACGTGGACGGGGCAACACCTTATTGGCCGGGGGCTGCCCAGCTTGGGTGGGCGGTAGCTGTCCAATGAGGTGCGAAGATTTCTCCCACCGTCGAGAGGGAGCCCCAGATACCCCGCTCCTACGTCCATCTAGCGGGTTTTTTTCGACCGGTAAACTGCCCCTCACTGTGTTTATTTGTTGGACTGGCCTCTCCAGCGGCGCGTTTGGATAGAAGTATGGAAGTCAGTAGGTGCCCAAGCAGCTGGCTTTGTGAGACAGAGATTTGTCTCGCCTCTACCCGTTGAGCTTTCAGGCATGATTGGATCTACGGCTGTGAAAAGCCATCCTGTACAGCTCGCAGGATCATTGAGACACGCCAGCCATCACACCACGTCAAGGTGCAGTCTCGTCGTTGTGGTTTAATCCTCCTAATAAGTTGTCGGTTGAGTGGTCTGCGTGTGCGTCATAACGACAAGAATGCAGCTTGACGCGATGTGATGGCTTACGTACTTCCGTTACCCTGCGAGCTTTACAGGAGGGCTCTTCAAGGTTGCACATCCAATCATGTCTGAAAGCCAGACAAAGTTCTGTCTCACAAGGCCAGCTGCTTGGGCACCTCCTGGCTACTTTTGTCTGTCCACTTTTACCCTTGGATAGGTCACTCCAGCGAATAAGCACCGGGAGGAGTAGTTTACCGGTGAAAACACCCCGCTAGATGAACGTAGAAGTGAGGTACCTGGGACTTCCTCTTGATGGTATGAGAAATCTTCGCACTTCATTGGACAGCTACCACCCACCCAAGCTGGATAGAACCCAGCCAATAAGATGTGTCCCGTCCACGTTCCACTTGTGTCATTGGGTGCATGGGACTGAGGATCAATACCGAAACGTGGTTCTCCCAAGAAGTTTATTTCAATTTTCCGATCTCACCGTACTAATAGTCGGATCCTAATTAGTTTTTCATTGCTTTCATTATGGAGACAGTTCTATCTTCGTGCTGCTTCATACTCACCGTCGGCCAACAATCGCAGTGTTCCTTGACCTGAAAGGAGCCTTCGACTCAGTTGACCGCAAAGCTCTGATGGGCTGCCTTCTTTCAAGAGGAATGCCCCAGAAGTACCTTAACCTACTGAGGTCGCTGTACTCACATACCTCCAGTCGTGTAAGGGTCTACGACGAACTAAGTAGGCTGTTCGTCAAGGGTGCCCTCTTTCGCCGTTCCTGTTCAATTTCGTCGTAGACGAAATACTGGAGAGCGTACTAAGGAGACTCCAAGACGTAGGTATTGAATGGACAGTTGGAGAAAAGCTATGCGATTTGGAGTACGCCGATGACATCTGTTCTGTGTCTGTTCGAATATATGGAGGACGTGCAAAGTGCACTTAATAGATTAACAAGTGCAGTGGCCACATTCGGTATGTGCTTTATAGCTTCAAAGTACAAAGTGATGTCGCAGGACTGGGTTTCGTCTACTCCCACTCTGACACTAAATGGCCAGGATTTAGTTGTGGTGGATTACTTTTCCTACTTAGGTAGTTGCGTGACCAATGACGGTAGTGCAGCAAAGGAGATAACCGCCCCCATTTCCAAGGCTCCAGCAGCATAAGCAGGACTGAAACATCTTTGGCGTAGACACGACGTTTCACTGAAGTTTGAAGGTCGTGTATATGGCGCTAGCGTTTGCTCAGTCCTGCTTTATGGTTGTGAGACCTTGAATTTGCGAGTAGAAGATATCCGTCGACTAGAAGTTCGTGCTTTATGGCTGTGAGACCCTGAATTTGCGAGTAGAAGATATCCGTCGACTAGAAGTTTTCGATTATCGGGTTTACGTAGTTTAGCCCATGTTGGACGGCGCGAACGGGTTAGTAACGTGGAGGTAAGTGTTTGGAAGTCTGTCACGTATAAACCTGCTAGCATACCGAATTCAGATTGCTAGGCTTCACTGGCTAGGGCGCGTATTGCGTATGCCCAGCCGTCTTCTTCCTCACCGCGCTTTATTCGCTGTAGCTAATCTGGGCTGGAGGAAACCACGTGGAAGTCAACAGATGACGTGGAGACGAGGCATGAAGAAATGCACATAGCCATTAGGTAGAGTAGGTGTCTCTCGTCTTCCAGGTTGAGGACCGAAAGATTCCACAACTGGTTAGTTGGAGACATTGAAGGATATGGCGGCGAACCGGCAGCAGTGGCGTTCTTGTTGTCGTTTCTTATCAGGTCAGAATGCTTGAAACGGTATGTATGCAGAGTTCGATTGCATACTCTGTGTGTTGACCATAGTGGCTCATCTTCTTCTCCCTCCCTCAAAATAGATCCAATCCCTATTCACCTTAGATTTTACCACTAGCACTGCGAGTTTGGCAGCGGTCAATGAAGTTCGCCTCACTGTATTTCGCTGTACGATGGTGATGATGATATCTTCGTACGACGATAGTGCCGTTAATTTGCTCCCAGGCGGTAGACTTTTTGATCTGTAGCATTCCGACTACATTATGCTGCTAAGTGAAGATCCAGGTAAGATGCATACTTTTTTGCTAGTTTGAGTGCTAGTGTAGCCATGTTCGGTATGCGTTTTGCACCTTCAAAAATTAAAATGTTGTTGGGTTGGTCCAGCCCTCAACTTCACTCCAATTGGGGTAGTGAAAGGAAGTAGACAAGTTCTGCTATCTGGGCAGCTATATCTCACCTGGCGGTCGCATCACAGATTAACAGTTGGCACACCCGCAGAAGGCTCGGTTGGTATTTACTAACTTGAGACATCTGTGGCTCCGTCGTAACCTCTGACTCTCTATGAAGGGTTGAGTATGCTGCAGCAGTTTGTCCAGTGCCGCTATGCGTCTCAGATGCTCGGTCATCATGGTGTNCGCTATCTATACTACATTGCTCGAATTCGGTGGGGAACCGGGACAAGCAATTCTGAGGTAAGACGTAGAGTTTTAAATAATCGCGGTGCTCCACTGGAGCAAGTGGTCGACCTTCATAGATTACGCTGGTTGGGACGTGTTACGCATGTCACCAAAAAGGTTGCAGTGGCGAGCGATATTTGCCGAGAGAGGTGTTCGATGGAAAAAAAGCCTAGTGTTGTCAAACTAAGACCTCGCCCGATGGTATGAAAACCCTAACCAGGAATCTGGGTCACATAGCTTTCGTTAAGCTCTCTGCATGGGGACCCCGAGTTCACGGTCACCGTTGGTTAGAGACATTGAGCGATGTGACTGATTGTCGCAACCCGTGGCGTTCTTGCATCTTCTTAATTTCCTTACAACCTTAGACCACCGAAATTCTCAATTTTTTCTTCGACTCCACTTTCGATTTTCCTGTCTTTCTCCTGTTAAATCCAAAGGAGCAGCCAAAACCGGCACACAAAGGTTTGTGGTTGATGGTTGTAAAGACTGAAACTGAAAACCACGTTTCGGTATTGATCCTCAGTCCCATGCACCCAATGACACAAGTGGAACGTGGACGGGACACATCTTATTGGCTGGGTTCTATCCAGCTTGGGTGGGTGGTAGCTGTCCAATGAAGTGCGAAGATTTCTCATACCATCAAGAGGAAGTCCCAGGTACCTCACTTCTACGTTCATCTAGCGGGGTGTTTTCACCGGTAAACTACTCCTCCCGGTGCTTATTCGCTGGAGTGACCTATCCAAGGGTAAAAGTGGACAGACAAAAGTAGCCAGGAGGTGCCCAAGCAGCTGGCCTTGTGAGACAGAACTTTGTCTGGCTTTCAGACATGATTGGATGTGCAACCTTGAAGAGCCCTCCTGTAAAGCTCGCAGGGTAACGGAGGTACGCAAGCCATCACACCATGTCAAGGTGCAGTGTCCTCCTGATCGATTTTTTTCGTAGCTGGACGTAATTTGTCGTTCTGACCTTCACCTTTCTGGTGCTGTATAACAAACCATAGTTTTACTTCACATATGTCTTTCTAAAATTCATTTTATCCTACTGTCTCCTGAAATGCGTTTTGGCCAAACGGTCACTGTTTGTCTTTAACATTTTGTCGAGTCGGTTGAATAATCGATTTCGTGGTTGGTAAAGTATTGACGTTCTTTCCTTGCAGCGTAGGTGAACTAAATTCATTGTCACGTATTCGCTGAGCTCGGCGTTTTGTTTGCAAGCACTTCATCGCTAGGTAAAATCTTCAGTTCTTGTCAAGCAACCACTTTGTAAGCCATGACGATGTCACCTCGACTGGTGGTGAAACATTTGCAAACGCTTCTAAACTCGATTAACAGATTAAATTGATTTCCGATGTCATGATTTTAAAGACCACTAGTCACTGGATCTCCTGGTTCGTCTCAGGAATGTTCACCAAGATAGATGAATGTTTTGATCATGAACCGGGATAATCAGTTGTTGATTTCATTGCAAGAGGAGTGATTAGTCCTCTTCTTCTGTGATTAGAAATACTAGGCAATTTAACTAATATTCTCTTTTTATCCAGTACCTGAAATATCGAGTGGCATGTTACAAAAGTAATTTCTTTTCAAATTTTAAGTATTTGGAAGGGAATACCAGGGCACAGCCTGAAAGAATGCTCACCGTTAGGTCCACTTGTTTCATTGACCACTGATTTGATGTCGCACACCAGTATCGCAAAACATTCTTACTTGCCCTGTTTCTTCCATAGACAATGATGTGATTGCGTCATTGTCCTTGTAATAAAATCTAGACAAGTTTCTCCTAACTTGTGGATATGCTGTAACTCTACCAAGCAATTACTTTGACACTGGGAATGGATACATGATTTTAAACGCGGATGCGGTTATCCGGATTGACCACAGCCTGAAAGTGGTTGCGGTTCCCAATCCAGTCACTCAAAATTGTTGCCTGAAAACTAAAGTTAACGGATTAGCAAAACTCACAAAGGACCCAGTTACTGCAACTCACCTTTGGTGATAAGCGGCATGGCTGTCGCTTGACTCAATATTGCGTCAGATCTACCACTGCACACTACAATCTTATGTGGCTCGCCACTCCTAGGTTCTTTGCCTGATTTACTGGTTTCCAAAACGAAATGGTAAGGCATTATGACTAGTTTTAGCACATACTTTCATGCTATTCATTTCCCATGTCATTAAATTAATGATGTACTGAACGTTTTTCAATTTAAGGTGCGCTTCCTAAGTATATTGATAGTAACTTGTGTAATACACCGACGGGTTTTTAATACAGTGGGTCTTTTTCAACCTATGGAAGACGAGGGTGACTATAATTCAGTGCTCTCTTCCCCGCACTGGAAGCGAGTTCGCTTGTGTGTGGATCTTCGCAAACAGCTGTCATCCGTAAACGTCAGAATACCCTGCAACACTCAGTGATCTGTCGTCCAACTATCAGTTAAACGCAAGATATCGTTCGCATAACGGCGGACTAGCTTAATTCAAAGCCTGGTTCATGTTAACTTCATGCCTAACCATCATTATGAGATGTGCATAAAATACTTTAGAAAATGCTTAGTGAAGGATTCATCCGTTTGCGAGGGATACTAAAGGTAAATAATGACCAGTCACTCATTATTTGCTTTTAATTGTCTCTTAAGATTGACAAATTACACATTATTATCCACCGGTATGAATTGATGACAGTGCTTCGCTGATTTTTTTTAGTCTAACCTGATTTGCTACTGTTAGTGTTCAGCGTTTCCGGATCAGTTCTTAGCTTTATGCAATTAACAAGGGAAACGGAATACGAACGAGACGGCACAGTTTAGGCAAAAATGAGCTCAACTAAAAGTTCTAAATTCCCTAAAATACCTAGAAATTACTTTGTACATATTGCAGATCTTTCTCAAACCAAAGACCTAGTCACGTGTTTTTACCATGAGTGCTCTCATTTGAGAAATAACTGTACTTTGAAAACCAATTTAAATAATCACACGAGATCCATGAATGGAACGGATCTCACTGAAAAACTTGGGTATCGTGCTCTTAATTATTATGTTTTCGTTTTTTCGTTCCTCCTGGCTAAAACAAGCTAATTTCCTCAATAATCCATATGGTGTAGCATGTCCTCCTTGGCAGATCAAACAGAAGGTAGAAAATTTCTGGTACGAACTGAATTTAACCGGACTGTTTCTTTTGATTCCTCAATGATCATAAATAATTCTGATTTTTCACTATTCTTCATCGCTGATCTAGATCACTCTTTATTTTAGATTAGATCCAAGATTCGTGTTGCAAAGCATTTTACACATGATGATCCAGATTGGTGTTCTTGTCAAAGCATACCATCTGTTTAGGCTTGGAACGTCTATCTTTAGCACATCCTCCTTGTGGCACATCATGCTGGGATCTTCCATTGGTTGGTATTTCCGAATGCCTGCCTTGTTAGTCGGGCACGTCAAGCGAGGATTAACCGCGCTCTTCTGATCTGTCTTTTTCTTTTTTTCTCTTTGAGAATGTTATAAGCACGAGCTTTTGTGGTCTAATTTTTTAATCAGTATCAAAGATTTCTCAGTTTGTATAAGTTCATACTATCTGTCAACGCGTTTTATGTTGAATAGTTTGCATTCTTCACTTACCAGTTTTTAAACAGTGCAAATCACTTAGTGCATTATTTTATGCGTTTATTTCTCATCCTATCAGCTTGGACTTCAGATGAATAAGCTGTGTGCCTCAGAATCGTCATCCGGGCATTCTAAGCCAATCACTATGAAAAATCCGGTGTCCACGAAAGATAACATCTCGCCAACCATTTCGACACCATCGCCTGTAAAATCATCGATCGAAAAGATTGCTTCGGACCCATTATCTCAATCGTTTATCACTCCGGTTAGGCCTGTGTTCACTTCCGAAGCAATAGTCACTCCTCAGCAAACCCGGCGTCGATCTTTGCGATTGAAACCACGTGTATCACCTCCAAATAAGTAAGCTAGATTTTTTTCGTACTTTTACTTCATACACTCCGCTGGTAGTCCCTGATTCATCGATCGCTTGCATCGTATTGAAACTGGCGAGTTATATACAAGCTTTCAGTCAAAAAGAGAACACTGTCACAATGCTGGCAAAAAATTGGAGGAAAGTGGTGCATCTTACGGGGAAAATGTTAATTTAACTACTAAATGCATTAGATAGCTCAGATCGAACACTTTTTGTTGATCAGATAGTCCAGAAAGATAGGGTACCAAGGGGTTTCTGTAGGTAGATATCCGAAATGAGATGGGTTTGTCTTTGGAACGGGTGGAAGGATGGGATTTGCATGCACACAGATCGATGTGTAAGAGATGTGTGCAATTAGTTAGAGTACTGTGAGCAAACTCCGAGCACGCATCAATATGAGCATCACAGATATTGTCTATCATGACAGATAATAGAACTTTGGAAACGCGGTGGATCATTCAGAGGTCGCGCCTCAGCAGCTTTAAATCAGTCTTCAGCAAACAGGGGGAAATCACAGAAGAGAATTAAATGGGTATAGGGAGAACGTATTGTTGAATAAATGCTCATACCACCGACAAATCAGAACAGAAGTGACGCATTCTTCCGATATGAAAGAAGGGAACTTTCAGCTTGCGAGCAACATTTCGGGTAGGTAAAGACCGAAGAGAATTACTTTGAAGTGTGACAACTAATACTTGTCTTTCCTGAAGGTTCTTTTATTTCATTTGATAGTTGGGTTCGCTTTCTTTCAAAAGGAGCAGCTGTTAGCAAATTCACAAGAATGTTTCCGGTTGATGACGTTGGCCTGAATGACTGTTATACGGACTCAGCCTTCATGTCATCTTAGAATTACTGAGAGCTGCATGACCGTAAATACAGTAACAAAGGTAAATCCCGTAATCCAAAGAATCAGCCTGTTGAATATGGATTCAAAGACAAAACAGTTATAGAGTGAGGGAAGACGGAAAGGAGAAAATCTTCCCGAAGTTTGATAAAAGATAGTTAAATAATATATCTTACACCTAGAAATACTCGCCTGATCTCTCGCGCAATGTGAGGGGCAAGTGAATGAATGTACTGTGACCTTAAAATCAAAGAAGATAATACAGCGCCTGTAAACCGCATTTCTTTGATATTGGTTGTACCCTCGGCTTCCAACAATAAAATCATGTTGGAGCATAATATCTTTATCCTAAAAGAGCTGTCTGCAGTTAAAGTTTTTCATCATTCGCAGCTGATTATCTTACCTGATTTCCACGAAACTGCCTGGAACTGCAACAGGCTTCATTTGTTGTTTGCTCATGTCTAACATATCACTATTGATTATGATCAGTGCAGTTGTGCGGGCAAACGCCTTCCTTACTTGACACAATTGGTGGGATAGTCTTCATAATCACGGTAAATCGCAATGTATTTATGGGAACTGGTATCCTTGTTGAATACACCGGAGAGCATAGCTGTGTGCTACCGAGTGCGTCCCCAGGTCGCGGATAGGGAAACGGCCGTCAACTCACGGCTGACCGTGAATAAGGTGAACTTCGGCCCTCCGAATAAGTGGTTCTGGACGATCAGCGGCAGCGCTCGAGGGTGTGATGGGCTTCGGTGGGCGTTCCAAACGCTTGACAAGTTCTGTTCGCTAAAGTGTGGTACACTGAGCAGGTCCCCTCCTCGTGGGGGGAATCAATTGTCGTCCCCATCTTCAAAAAGGGCTCGCGCAATGACTGCGCCAATCATAGGGGTATAAGCCTTATCCCGATAGCGTCAAAGCTATTGGCGTCCGTCATTCTCCGCCGATTGTACACTACGCGCGAAGAGCAGACCCGTGAGGAACAGGCTGGGTTTCG